CAGAGCCTAGAAAAACGAAAGGAGAAAACTGCTTCTCCAAGAAAAATTGATCATTAATATGCCTGTTTAGAAAATCAGTTGGTTAAAAAAAAAAATTAGTTGGTTGTACCTGGCTGGCTCAGTTGGTAGAGCATGTAATTCTTGATCACAGGGTCATGGATTTGAACCCCATGTTGGGGGTAGAATTTATTTTTAAATAAACAAGCAAATAAATAAATAAATAAATAAATAAATAAATAAATAAATAAATAAATAAATAAATAGAAAATAATTTGGACGAGATTAATACAGGGCACATTTCTCCACACTAAATATTTGACTTTACTAGCCTGAACTTGAGATGAGCTAACAGCTGGTTGAAACTAAATTTTTCACTCATGGTTAGGAAAATAGCTCTTCTACTTCCTGTTATCACAGATACCTTCAAAGTTCAGGAAATTAACTCATATGCTGGAGGTGTTTACCTTGTCTCATAACTATAACTGTGAGTTTGATTGAGCTTCTGTGGTGTCCCAGAAGCTGTCACATGTTATTGGGAACTATGAGTTGCCACCATTGATTGAGATAACTGCTGAAAGCACAACTTGAAAAGCAAAGAACAAGCAAGCAAGTTCCAGCCGATTAGCCTTTACCCTAGCCCATGCTGGGTGCTGTTTCTGTTTTGTTTCTATCCCACAAACCCATCTGTTCTTTCTCTCTCTCTCTCTTTTTTTAAGATTTTATTTAATTATTCATGAGAGGCACACAGAGAGAGGCAGAGACACAGATAGAGGGAGAAGCAGGCTTCTCACAGGGATTCGATCCTTGGGCCTGGGATCAATCACACCCTGAGTTGAAGGCAAATGCTCAACTCCTGAGCCACCCAGGAATCCCCCGATCTGTTCTCATAGAGCATTTTATGTTTACATTGTTCATCATAATTTCATCATATAATCTTTCATGGTTTATATTTTCTGTAAATCAAATGGTATTTAATTCTGTATTTCTGATCTGTTTTTATGAAGGTTCACTCCAATCAGCATTATTTGTACAATTTAATTATACTGATTATGTCATACTGGGGTTTTAATTTCAATTTGATGCTTCATAATGAAAGTACAACATCAGAAAAATAGGTTTTTAAGGTTTTTTTTTTTTTTTCTTTTCATAATTTCTACACCCACTCTGGGGTTCAAACTCACAAATCTGAGATCAAGAGTCACATGTTCTTCTAGCCAAACCAGCCAGGCAACCTGAGAGCATGAGCTTTGAAGTTCAGGTCCTGGCTATAGTAGGTAACATCGGAAAATTTTCTATCCCCTCTGACCTTGAATTTCTTTGTAAATTGAAATAATAATATGTCTAAATGGGGAAAAAATTCAAATAAAGCATTTGACATAGTGCCTGGTCATAATAAACACAGTATGTGTTATTGTTGATATGGGTATGATGATTTATGGTATTTTTCTCTTAATTCCTGAAGAGTGGGATGTACTTGAAAAAGGCTTAGAAGTGTACATGTTAGCAGCCCTTGATCATGCTTTTCTCTTAGTAATCAAATCCTTTTTAAAGATTGCACAATCCAGGGTCGAATTTAGATGCTTAATATATTTGGAATCTGAGCCAGATTTCAGTTACCTTGCTACAGATTCATCTTCTTTATAAGCTATAGAAATTAAAACAGTAGTAGTACAGGCTTATATTTAAGATAGCAACCTGATCCAAGATATTGTAGTTTGTAGAACTGGCAATGTTTAATGTTCTCCATAAATTCATGGGGCTTAATAAGAAATTACATAGACTTTTTAGACCTTGAACATAGAGATACCCAAATTCAACCCCTCATCAACTGAGAAAACTTTGTAGACAAGTTGAATGAAGCATTCAACTAAGATTCTGTTTTTGTGTATAAGATACAGATAAACCTTTTCAAAAGAAGGAACTACTTAATAATCATTACATTGTTACCATCACTCTAAATTTTCATCTGATTGTTATAAATCAGTATAAAATAAATTTTAGAACGGCAATCAGTATATAGATCAATCTGTGTGAATGTCTTCTGTTAATATCATTGTCCTTTAAATTTTAATTGCCACGAAAAATTACTATGTTTTGACCTGAGTGGCTTGCTTGGTCACTCCTATGTTGTTGGTTTTTGAGCTATTTCCTACTTCTTCCTATTTTAAATAGCACTACTGTGAACATCTTCCCCCCAGTTAATTCCTAGGAGAATATTTCCACAAATTAATCAAGGTTTAATACTATATTCTAGTTACTGATAGGTTAAAACTCACTTCACAGCTTGGTATTGAAAACTCAGATACTATAGATTTGATTAAATGTATGTCTTCTTAGGTGGTTGCTTTTTATTAAACAGAAAAAAAAATTTTTTACCAGCATAGAGTGAGTTAACAAAGAGGGTTTTTAAGGTAAAAGGAAAAGGGTGTAAGAAAACCCTGGGGAAATTTGATAGTGTCCTAAATTCCTCCTGAATCTGATTTTAGAATGTTGTTTTATTTTCTCACACAGTTTATCAGGTACACTCCAGTTCTTAAAAGTAGAGATAGAACTATTTTAAAGATAATATGTAACATTTTTAGATTAACCATAAATGGGCTTCTTTCCATTAGTGCAGATGTGAGCATGTTTTGGACTTCAACATCACATAATTCTTTTGTTACAGAGGTCTACTTTCATTTCTCAGACCTTAAATACGGATGGGAGTTTCTGTCTTTATAGCAGTCCTGCTGCCAGATACAATTCAGCCTTGATGGGAAGGAAGTTTTGTGGCCAGATGGGTGGAGATCCATGTACAAGGCCATAAAGATAAAAATGGAAAGAAAAGGAAAACTATACAAGATTCTGTAACAAAGATGAACCTGACTACAGGCAACTGCTTGTTCTGAGAGTCAGGGCTTCTTTAAAATTAGGAAAGAAATGAGTCCATTGTTTTTATTCGTAATTTAGTTTATTTGGGGGATAGTAATTTCATATAGATCAAAATTCAAGTAATTCTTTTATAAACTCTGGCCCCCAGACACCCAGTTGCCCTTTTTGGACAACTAGAGGCAGCCAGTATTACTAATTACATGATTTTCCTTCCAGAAATATTCTGCACATATACATGTAAATATGTATGTACATGCATTATGTTTCTGTATATGCACACGTGTTCTTTATCTTTTTTCCCCTAACAAATGGTTGTGTCATAGACACCCAACATAATCTTGGAAATTGTATCAATAGAAGGTCTCTTTTAATCTTTATTGTTGTTGTTGTTTATAGTTTTTTTTTTTTAAGATTTTATTTATTCATGAGAAAGACACAGAAAGAGAGGCAGAGACACAGGCAGAGGGAGAAGCAGGCTCCATACAGGGAGCCCGATGTAGGACTTGATCCTGGGACTCCAGGATCACGCCATGGGGCTGAAGGCAGCGCTCAATGGCTGAGCCACCCAGGCATCCCATAGATTTTATTTGTTTATTTGAGAAAAAGAAAGAGAGAGAAAAGGAGAGACAGCATGAGCTGGGGGAGGGGCAGAAAGAGAAGCAGACTTCCCGCTGAGCAAGGAGACTCAATCCCGGGACCCCAGGATCATGACCCAAGCCAAAAACAGATGCTCAACTGACTGAACTACCCAGGCACCCCTTTTTTATTCTTTTTTTTTTTAAGATTTTATTTATTCATGGGAGACACAGAGAGAGAGGCAGACACAGGCAGAGGGAGAGGGAGAAGCAGGCTCCATGCAGGGAGACCCATGTGGGACTCGATCCTGGGTCCCCAGGATCACGCACCTGTCTGAAGGCGGCACTAAACGCTGGGCCACCGGGGCTGCCCCCTTTTTTATTCTTTGAAAGCACTTTAAAAATGTCTTGTGCTGGGGCACCTGGGTAGCTTAGTCAGTTAAGTGTATGGTTCCAGCTCAGGTCATGATCTCAGGGTCCTGGGATTAAGCCCCACATTGGGCTTGGGCTCTTTGCTTAGTGGTTAGTTGGCTTCTCCCTCTCCCTCTGTGCTTGTGCTCTCTTTTTCTCTCTCTCTTTCACTCTCTCTCTCAAATAAATAAATAAAAGCTTTTTAAAAATGTGTCTATATTGAGTGAGAGTAATTCTTAACCCAGGGATCAAGTATACACAGTAGTGTCTAAGAAATGTCTGTTGAGTGAAGGAGTGAGTGAGTTATTTTATTAATTTAAGGTACAAATAAAGAAAGGGAAAAAGCTAAGAATTGTCTGAAGTTGAGACTGTTGACCTAACCCTCACTCTGGGACCAAGGGAAATCTAAGGGGTAACATCATAAAAGGCAATTTCTTTTAAAAAGGCATATCTCTTTAAGACTTCATATTAGATGTGTCAATAGGAAGAGATTCCCCTGGAGGTGGGGGAAGAATGGAATGGCCCCTGGATTCCAGGAGTCCTGGCTCTGTTGTGACTGGCTCTGGGACCTGGAACAAGTGGGTTCATATCTCTGTGCTGTCCTTTGTTCAAATGCAAAACAAGGGAGTTGGAGTAGATTATTTCAATGGGCTGTTCTCGTTCTAAGATTATGTCATTTATAATTCTGCAGTTTCCTGTCTATTTACCCATTTGCACAAGATATTTGTCATGTTGAAACCACATTTATAGAGAAATTTAAAAATGAGGTATCATTCCCTATAGATTATTGGTAAAAATGTGATTATTAAGAATCTAGGATTTAGATTATAGAAAAGTAGTTTGCAATGATTATACTCCTCACAAAAATTTATTGGCCAAACTATTAAGACATTTATGGGGATAGAACTTAATACCCCACATATTGACACATTTTGAGAGAATCAGTACTCTGTAATTTTAACCTGTAAGAACAAAAAAAAATCAGATAAAAATTATAATATTAAAATTATTCAATAGTAAATGTAATTGTTATAAATGATAATGTCTGTAATATATTTAACAGTATTTAATAAATATAGTTATTAAAATAGTAACTAACAATAAACGTAATTCATAGTAAAATTTTTTTTTTCTTTATTTTAGTTAAGTTTGAGAATGAAGCTAGTAAATATTGGGACACATTTTATAAGATTCATAAGAATAAGTTTTTCAAAGATCGTAATTGGCTGTTGAGGGAATTTCCTGAAATTATTCCAGTTGATCAAAAAACTGAACAGAAGTTGGAAGAGTTATCATGGGATCATGCAAAAACTAGTGCTGCAAATGGTTTCTCAAGAATGCACTGCCCTACTATGCCTGAAGAAAAAAATTATAATAAGAAAAGGTGTGGTTCATCAGATGGTCAAAGGAAAGCGGGATCACATTTTTCCAACCTAGACTCTAAAGAACACAGAAAAGGACCTCTGAAGACAGAATTGTTTCCTGGTAGCAATGCCACTTTCAGAATCCTAGAGGTACTGTCCTGCTGGGGCAAAGATGGGGAATGGCAAATAACTTTGAAATGTATATTCCATATGGCTTTATTAATAATCCAGATTTTTTAGGGGGGAAATGAGCAAATCTAACTAAGTGTTCAGTATACTTCTGTGCATAAAGAATATTTGAAGGACTCATATCTATATTCAATTTCTAAGTTTGTGATTTTTAATTTGTTTTCATTTCTAACTTGAAGGCAGTGTTAAGTACCAATAAAATTTTGGCCTTAATTTCTATCTCTTTCTGTTATTAACCTTTTTTTTTATTAACCCTTTTTAAGTGAAATAGAAATAAGTGAGATACATAATTACCTGTAATCTGGTATAGACCTTGAACTGCCTATTTTCAAAAATAAATCTCTTACTTCTGGTTATAAAGGTCGTATTGTATACATTGATTAGAGAGTTTGCTAAAGAGTAGGTAAGAAAAAATTATCTACCATCTCACATACAAGGGAGTTAACCACTCTTAACATTTTACTGAAATTTTTCCTTTTGTTTATACTGTTTTATGCAGTTGAGCTATAGAGTACCTGTATTTTGGGGTTTTGCTTTGTTTCTATTTAACATCATAACATAAGCAGTTTTTTTTATCTTAAAAATTGTCTATGAACATTTTCATGACTGCAAAATATTTTACTACATAAAGTACTTTAATTCTGCTTATCTATTTTTACAATACTAGGCATTTAAATTGTTTTCAGGTTTTCTCCAGCAAATGTGGGTATAGACATTTCTGTATTTTATTATCTTGGGTTAGAACCACTTGCTCATAATTTATTTTAAAAATTTAATGTCCTTAAAATATATTGCCAAATCACTTTCTAAGAAGTTGTGTTAATATCAACTCATGGCAATATATGTCTATTTCATCATAAACCTCATTGATTAGAATATTCTAATTTTAGGGGCGCCTGGGTGGCTTAGTCCGTTAAGCGGTTAAGCAGCTGCCCTCAGTTCACATCATGATCCCAGGGTCCTGAGATTGAGCCCCACATGGGACTCCCTGCTTAGTGAAGAGTCTGCTTCTCCCTCTCCCTGTCCCTCTGCTTATGTTCTGACCCTGTCTCCTCTGTCAAATAAAAAAATAAATTTTTGAAGAAAAAAAAAGAATATTCTTTTTTTTTTAATTTTTATTTATTTATGATAGCCACAGAGAGAGAGAGAGAGAGAGAGAGAGAGAGAAAGGCAGAGACACAGGCAGAGGGAGAAGCAGGCTCCATGCACCAGGAGCCTGACGTGGGACTCGATCCCGGGTCTCCAGAATTGCGCCCTGGGCCAAAGGCAGGCGCCAAACCGCTGCGCCACCCAGGGATCCCCGAATATTCTTTTTTTTAAGTGCTTTCCTCTTTGACAGATGAAAATTATACCTCATTTTAATTTGCATTTCTTTCATTGTTAACTAGGTCACATAGTTCTTCAAATGTTTAGAAGTCATTTGCACTTCTTTTGTATTGTTTATTTCCTTTGCTTATTTATCTCTTTGATTTTTTTAAATGAACTCATTTCCTCTTACCATATTTATTGCCAGTTTTTTTTTCCACAGTGTGTTGATCACCTTTTAATTTGGTTTGAGTTTTATAGTGTAAAAATTTAAAATGTTTACATAGTTACATTTTTGTCAGTATTATTCTTGTGACTTCATTGCTTTTGAGTTTAGAAAACCCTGTAACACCTAGACATCCAGTACATTTCTTCTAGTTTTGTTTTTTTTTTTTTTGAATAAAAAAAAATCTAACATTGGTGAGGAAAATTTAACCTGTTTTCATATTTGTTTATTCTTTCGATTTTTTAGGTTGGCTGTGGTGCTGGAAATAGTGTTTTTCCAATTTTGAACACTTTACAGTGAGTTTTAAAGTTTTTTCCTACAAAATTTTATGTATATATGGGGCGTTAAGAAATTCTGGAAAAATTGTCATATGTATGCCGGTAACATTCTTGCTCTCATATAAACAATGACTAAAGCAAGTTTCAAAAGAATTGCCTTAGTCTTAGTGTCTAATTTTATGTGAACTAGGAATTACTCTGAAAAGAGTGTTTCACAGACATGGGTTTGAAATAATTTTTTTAAGCTTATGTGTGCGTGGATGAGAGAATAAGAAAAGCCCAAGAGATTTGACCCTTCCACTAAGCTGTGGATCGCTTAACTTCAGAGATCTCTTTGCTTCTCCAGGTATGCAGGTGCCATTTTACACAGAATTGAATTTAAAATTTATACTTTTGGGGATCCCTGGGTGGCTTAGCGGTTTAGCGCCTGCCTTTGGGCCAGGGCGTGGTCCTGGAGTCCCAGGATCGAGTCCCACGTCGGGCTCCTGGCATGGAGCCTGCTTCTCCCAATGCCCGTGTCTCTGCCTCTCTCTCTCTTTCCCTCTCTCTCTCTGTCTATCATGAATATATAAATTTTTTTAAATCTTTTAAAAAATAAATAAAATAAAACTTATACTTTAACCCTCATTTTATTTTCTTATTACTTCTGGAGCCACACCCAGAATAAGACCTCCCTTTGTCAAGTGATTGTCTCTAGACTTGAAATTGTTTAGCAGTAATAGCCACTAACCCTAAGACAAAAGGGTAGACGTAGATGTTAGGGGCAGAGATGTTCTGATATGCCTTTCCTGCTCACCGCCTCACTTATGTGTTATAGTATATCCATGATGAAGACACTCCTCACAAAGCTTTTTAGCACCTTTTACCTATGGATGGTCTTTATAGTTTACACAATAGCTTTCACATTATTTGTCCTTTATAAAACCGACGTAAGCACATTGCAGAACATTTCCATTAGAGGAGGGGGGGTGGGAATCACCCATCATCCCCACCATCCTACACATAGCTGCTTTCAGCATTTTTGTTATAATTCCTTTCAGTCTTTTCTCTATGTGTATTTTAAATTTTAATGATGCTATTTTTTTAGCTTTTCCTTGTGAAAGTGTAAAAGCATACAGAAAAGAGTAATACAATGAATTCTTATATACCTACCACTTCAATTTAACAGTTAACATAATGCCAACATCATGACACTTTATTTTTAAATACTTATGATGTAGCTCCCAAAAAATCATCAGTACATTCTTCATTACTATTCTAAACCTAATGTAATAATAGTGATTTCCTGATACCATTAGATTACCAGCTAAGTGGCCAGGCAGACGTGATGGTGGCCAATTTGCAGTTCTGAATGACCTTTCTCTTTTTGTATTTATTTTCTTTGTTTTCCTTTTTCCCCATTTCTGGGCCAATATTCCCTGTTCTTTATTACCACATAGCCAGTTTCCTTCACCCCAGTAACTTCAGAGCTTACAATAACACATAAATTGATGACTTTGGCAATTAATAATGTATTACTTTATGACTCATCTCAAGGTATTATTTAATGTGTCATTTAAGTCTTGTCTCTCCAACCATGGTATGTATTCCTTGAAGTAGAAAACATACTTTATTTTACCCTAATCTGATTTTCCAGGTGGCTTAAAAGTATAATACAGATAGTTAGAGCTCAATACATATGGACTCATATCTCTGAATTCCCACTTGTCAGTTATATTTTTCCCTCTTTACTTTTTCCTCCCAACTAATAATTGCAAGCTCTTGCTTCCTCACTCCCTTATACTTATTGGCTCTGTCTTTTTTAAAAAATCAATGTAGCTTGATAACTTAGATAATTAATTCATCTTTAAGAGGCAACCAGTGATTAGCTTTCCAAAGGGAGAATTAACTTTTTCCCTATCTAAGAAATTATGTTTTATTACTTTCGGAGAGTATAGGATGAATGTTTTACATTTTCAGAATATTTTACCATAATTAGACCTCTGGAATTGAGAGGTCATATCATTCTCCAAGGATCATTTAATGCTTAAGCCCCCTGCCAAGAGAGAGCTGGGTGGTGTGGTCGTAGTAGTGGTATTTACACCTGCTTACTGGGAGAAGGGCCAAGGCTGTCAGCTGATTTTACAGAACAGCTCTGGAAATTCATTGAGTGGTCACAAGACTTCATCTTGGGCTGTGATGCAGTGGGAATTCAGTCTCAGAGGTCATACTGCCATACTAGTAGAACACATGGCAGATGGTACATGCTTTCCTTTAGCTATTAGACTGTTCCATCTCTTGTGGCTGTTTAGTAACCACTCCCCAAAGGTTAACTGCATACTTTTATAATGAGCTAGATGTGCCAGTGTCCAAAGACGTTTTTATAGAACCGTGATACGTTCTTAAGTTTTTAAGTTCCTAGAAGGCAGAGGCAGATCTTCCAATAATAATAATAATAATAATAATAATAATAATAATATAAAAATAATAATAGCAATAGCAACAAATATAATAATGACTAATATTTGTTAGGTGCCTACTCTGAGTTATGCATCTTTCTGGAAACTTATGAATCTCTTCAATCCTCATAATGACCTTAGATTCCAAGTTATCTCTGTTTGATGATGAAGAAACAGAATTACAGAGAAATTAAGTAACTATTCCAGGGTCTTAAAACTGAGCAGGAGAGCCAGGATTCAAACCATAGGCAGTTCGGTTCCAGAGCCCTTGCCCTTTGCCATATTACGTGGGGCTATGCATCTAAGTGCTTATTGAGAACATTTGAAACGTATGCAATCACCCAGCAAGTTAGGAGTCATGAATATATGGATTTTGTAGGAAACAATAGGGGTATAGACTGCAGTAAAGCACTGTTTTTTTTTTATGGGACAGATGAAGAAGATAAGCAGTGCAAGTCATAACCAAATCCTATATATCATATTTTAACTGATCTTAAATTGAATGCAAATCCCAAATGCCACAGCATGAGTGCATTGTATGTGAATATAGTATCCATCAACGAGGAGCAATTCAAGAGTATAATCTAAGCTTGGATGGGATTTTATTTGTGGAATATATATTTGTTCTTGTATTTCATATTCATTTAGTAGTCCTCCTTGCTTGAAATGTCTCCTGAATCAAATTAGAACTTCTAATTATATGTTTCAAGGCCCACTTGTACATCCTGCTATGAGCTCCTGGGATCAACTCTGCTTCTCATCCCTAGCATATAACTTCCATCTCTAAGTCCTTATACCATTTATCCTTCTACCCACTCAGCAATGCTATTCCCCTTCTTCAAAATTCTTAAGACTTACACTTCAGGAACTCTGCTCTATCCACAACACTATAGAAGCTATATAAAACCAATTATGTCCCCAGCTAGGCTATAAAACCCACAAGAGCCAGGACCATAGTTATAATTATTGTTTAATGACATACCAATCTCTTTCTGTGATCCAGACATGGTACTAAGTAACATGATGCAAAGATTATTTGATACCAGCATACGATGGATAATCAAGAAGAGTACTGGCCCGCATAATTCAAAGTATATGTGTGCCCATGAGTCACCATGGTCCAGACATTGTTACTGAATTTCAGGTAAAGGCTAAACAGAACTTGTGTAAGTTTAGTGGAGGCCAATTAAAACTACTCAAGACTTTCATATGCATAAACAGCCCCTGCCAAAAAATGACTCGCTTTATTTATTTACATTTGCAAATAAAACAACTAAGTCTAAGAGAGGTTAAGTCAGTTAATAAATGGCAAATTCAGGATTTAAACACAGGTCTATTTGGTTCCAAAATTTATACTCTTACTATTTTATTAGACAATTTCATTTACTACCTTGTATTCTAATGCTTGGTACAAACATGAAGCTTAATAAATGTTTGACAATAACTGGAAAAGATAACTAAGAATTATTATATTAGTGTCTTATTCTTTTTTAGAGGTTGTATTTACATACTGTTAAATATATATATATTTATATATATATATTCCTATTCCTTTAGGGGCATCAGAGCCTCTGTGAGAGACCCAAGAGCCAAATGAGTTGTATGCATAAAAAGGGGAGTAGGGGAGCATCAAGGACACAGGGGTCTGAGAGTCCTTGCACAAGGGCAGAACTTGACTAAGCTATGAGGAGCTGCAGGCCTTGCTGGCTGGAAGCACAGAAGAAAGACTGCGGGGAAGTAGGGGGAGCAGGAGGAAGGTGGAGCAGTGATAATGGACAGCTTTGGAGGTTTCCCATGTGAGAGTAAGGCAGATCCTTCAAAACCAGGACAGGAATTTTAAAGTTACCCTATAGTTAATGGTAAGTATTTGAGACAATACTGTTTCAGAAGCAGCATGAAGGCACCCAAATACCATTATAGAGGACAATATCTAAAAAAGAAGAAACAATAAGCCAGGTGTCATCCAAAATTCTATTAAAGAAATGCTTAACAAGTTCAAGCCTACAGTTTCCTTTCATCTGTAACCTGAGCATATATGAATCCTAGATTTAAAAATTGTTTCCATTTTCATAGGGATGCTCCTGAGTCCTTTCTTTATTGTTGTGATTTTGCTTCTGGAGCTGTGGAACTAGTAAAGGTATGCCTCATATTTTCTTTAAAGGGAACCATGTAAAAAAATAAAATAAATAATAAAAATAAAGGGAACCACGTAAGGATCTAATTCATTTGCTGCTGAAGTGATATTTTTGAAATGTTTCAGATGTTATCTGTGACCATTTTTAACTGAGTTCTTACTATTTCTGGGAATCATATAATCAGCTGGTGCCTAAGATATCACCCTAAAATTTCAAATTTAAAATAAAGTTGAAGGGACAGGTGTACCTAGAAGGTCAACAGCTCCTACAAGGTGATTTTTTTTTTCTAGAGAGGGAAGAAGAGAGAGGGACAGAATTTTTTTTTTTTTTTTTAAGATTTACTTATTTGAGAGAGAAAGAGAGTATGCACACAGGCTGGAGGAGGAGCAGAGGCAGAGGAAGAGAATCCCTAGCAGACTCCTTGCAGAGTGCAGAGCTGGTACAGGGCTCAGTCTCACTACCCTGAGATCATGACCTGAGCTGAAACTAAGAGTTGATGCTCAACCAACTGAGCCACTCAATCACCCCAGGAGAGGGAATCTTAAGCAGGCTCCATGCCTAATGTGGAGCCTGACACAGGGCTTCATCTCAAGATGGGGCTTGATCTGAGGACTCTGAGATCATGACCTTAGCTGAAACCAAGAGTTGGATGCTTAACCAACTGAGCCACCGAGGTGCTCCCTATAAGGTGATCTTATTCATATTTATGTCTCTAGAGGCCTATACAGAGTCTGACACATAGTAGGCACTCATTACATTAAAAATTTTGAATTAGGGGATCCCTGGGTGGCACAGCGGTTTGGCACCTGCCTTTGGCCCAGGACGCGATCCTGGAGACCCGGGATCAAGTCCCACGTCGGGCTCCCGGTGCATGGAGCCTGCTTCTCCCTCTGCCTGTGTCTCTGCCTCTCTCTCTCTCTCTGTATGACTGTTGTAAATAAATAAATAAATAATTTAAAAAAAAACTTTTGAATTAAAAAAATTTGAGGCACCAGGGTGGCTCAGTTGGTTAATCATCTACCTTTGGCTCAGGTCGGGATCTCAGGATTCTAGGATCGACCCCCACATTGGGCTTCTGGCTCAATGGGGAGTCTGCTTCTCCCTCTCTCTCTACTTTTCCCCCCTCCACTCGTATACTCCTCTCTCACTCTGTTCTCTTTCTCTCTAATAAATGAATAAATAATCTAAAAAAAGATGTTTAAAAAATTTTAAGAATGCATATGATACAAATGTAAATTGTCCTAAACTGTTTGGAAAGCAGTGGGGAGCCTGGATTTATTTGATCAATCCCCAATAGCTAGTAAGCATTACCTTAGCAAAAAGTATTTTTAGGAGATGGAAAAGGAATAGAAATTCTGCTGACAGAAATGTATGTATAGTCAGTACATGGAACTTAATTTCTGATAGTAAGAGTAATATTTATTCATGGTAGACAGTTTCTAAAATACTAAAAAGCCTAAACAGGGCAGCCCAGGTGGCTCAGCCCAGGGTGTGATCCTGGAGTCCCAGGATCAGGTCCCATATCAGGCCCCCTGCGTGGAGACTGCTTCTCCCTCTGCCTGTGTCTCTGCCTCTGTCTGTGTCTCTCATGAATAAATAAATAAAATCTTAAAAAAAAAAAAAAAGCCTAAAAAGGAAGATAAAATTCACCTGTAATCACACTTCCTAAAGTCCTATGGTTAATCAAGGTTAGTATTTTGTTATGTATCCTTTTGGTGTTGTTTTGTAGGCAAATTATGAGTGTGTGAATATGTGTGTACTCTGATTTTTTTTTAATAACAGCTTTATTGAAATATAGTTCATACCATGGAATTCACCATTTTAAAATATACAACTCTGTGATTTTTAGTATATTTACAGAGTTGTGCAATCATTACTGTTGCCTAATTTTTGATTACCTAGTAAAGGATATTTGTATTTTAAGCCAAAGGAGGCATGGAATAAGCACTGGAAGAGAGAGCTGAGGACCATCTCGGTGCCTCTGAAATAACATAAGTTAGGCTTCCGACAATGCAGCTCGTTGACTGAAAGGCCTGCCCTACTCTACTTTTAAAACTAAAGAGGGATTGTGAAGAATATTTGTTATCGAATCCAAGTGCTAGACTTAATTTTTTAAGACCGTTTGAAATAAACTAACAATACTGAATCTGAAATAAAGTGTATTCAAATTTACAGAGGAAAGGCATTAGAGAGAAATATAGTTTGACCTTTTTATTTTAAGAAAAATGCAAGAAGTCTGCTAACTATGTTTTTTTTTTTTTTTTTTTTTTTTTGGATTCCTTTATCATGATAGTTGCACTCATCCTATAGAGCAGCCCAGTGTTGTGCCTTTGTTCATGACGTTTGTGATGAGGGCTTACCCTTCCCTTTTCCAGATGGGATCCTGGACGTGATTCTCCTTGTCTTTGTGCTCTCTTCTATTCATCCTGACAGGTAACCGAAGACAAAAGGGCAAAGCAAATGTGTAAACCCCCTTTATCAGTCGTGGTTTTCAGAACTATTAAAAAAAAAAAGCGACAATTCTTGAATTTATTATTTAGTGAACTACAATGTGTAAAACATGCAGCCTTTTAAATGCAGTTTTTTCTTTCTCCAGACTTTTAGAAAGAAACTGGTCAAACTGCTTCATTAGTGAGCTTTCTATCACTGTCAGAGTGAAGTGAGCATATTCCAACAAGACACATACCTATTAAAAGTGACAATGCTTCAAGGAAATTACAAATTCAGAACAGCCTAATAGACTCCCAAGAGGGAAATTGTACTTGGTGATCAGAAACAAACATCTTTGATTTAGTATCTTACTGAATGTTCGTGAAGAGGTGGGCTGTGAATCTGGTTTCACACCGGTCTGTCCACAGGCTTTAATTTTTTTTTTATTTATTTATGATAGTCACACACAGAGAGAGAGAGAGAGAGAGAGAGGCAGAGACATAGGCAGAGGGAGAAGCAGGCTCCATGCACCGGGAGCCCGACGTGGGACTCGATCCCGGGTCTCCAGGATCGCGCCCTGGGCCAAAGGCAGGCGCTAAACCGCTGCGCCACCCAGGGATCCCTGTCCACAGGCTTTAAAAATTTTGTTTTAGGGATCCCTGGGTGGCGCAGCGGTTTGGCGCCTGCCTTTGGCCCAGGGCGCAATTCTGGAGACCCCGGATCGAATCCCACGTCGGGCTCCCGGTGCATGGAGCCTGCTTCTCCCTCTGCCTGTGTCTCTGCCTCCCTCCCTCTCTCTCTCTCTCTCTCTCTCTCTCTCTCTCTTTGTGACTATCATAAAATAAATAAAAATTTTTTTAAAAAATTTTGTTTTAAAGAAGTCCTCCAGGGAATTAAGGGTCCTCAAGATCTGCCAGATTAACCTTGGACCTTTATAATCTAAGACTGGCCTAGTGCCATCATTTAAATATTTATGACTTAAATTTTTTGTTCACACAATGTTTTGAAACAGCCAACATAGCTTTTGTCCAGATAGGAAACAGAAAGAGATATTACCAGCCATTAAAATGATAGCTTGCTTAAAATTTTGCCACCTCTTATGTATCAAAGCACCTGTGTGGTGTCAAGGGTTGTGCATTTTTAGGTTTTCTTAAAATTGGGTTTTCTACTGTGGTAGTAGATTCAGCCTCAGGAAAGTTTCTCTGCTGGCAGGTACAGACTTGACATCAACCAGTCTTTGATGAGTATGACCCTTTCCCAAAGATACTGAGTTAATATGTGCTTTTTCCTTTGCAATTAGAAATTCTCTAGGACCCTTTACAGTCCTTTTACTTCTCATTCAGAAATGAGAACTCTGGAAGAAAAAAAAAAAAAAGAAATGAGCACTCTGTTTGTTGAAAGATAAATTAAATTTCCAAATAAATCTGAATGAAACATATTTGCACCTGATGAGATATATCACATTCCATGAAGCTACTTTTTCCTCCCAGTTTCCATTGTCTATGTCTTTCTGCTAATCTGTTCAGAATATTGACATCATCCAGGTACTGGTAGAAAGATGTCATCTATGTATTTTGTTTCATAGTTTAAAAAATGAATAGTTAAAAGGATGGAGTAGGTGGGTAGAGATCAAGATTTTCTATTTGACACCTCTAACAGGAAATGTTTAAATTCCAAATAAGACCACAAAAACACTACTTGAAATTAGTTTACATAATGTATTTTCTCATGATATGAAGTGAATGTTAAAAAGAAGGAGAAGCAGATGTCTTGGAAAGACTACTGTTATCCCACAGTATGTTCATTTTATTTATTTATTATAAGATAAATTCAGATGTATCATGTCTCTAGCCACTTTCTTACCTATATGGAAATGATCTAAAAATATGGTGAATGAGTAGAAGGAGGGCAATAATAAGTGAAAAGACAGTATCTTTAGGGTCATTTGGGACTGTGGTAGTGTATTCAGCCCCACAAAAGCTTTAGAAAAGTGGCTTTTTGCCAACTTGGAAAATCTACACACAAATGAAGGGCAAGCAGTTCTGCTACACCTCAAGTCTGGGGATCTCAGCTTAAATGGGAATAAACCATAAGAGACTACAAAAGAAGAGCTAAATAAAATAAAGTACAGTATGTTTACCACAGATCCAAGCACAGAGTAGGCAATTAATACTTTTTCTAGTCTCTTCCTTTCTTTTTCCTCACCTTCCATGTAGAGGTGGATGAAGATAGCAGAATTGGCCCTAGTAAGATAAAGAAAAGGGACCCTCTCCCATTCTTGTCCTGTCCATCTCCCCTAGCCCACTCATACCTGCAGTTCTCAGGAACTGGTTCTGGAACTTGGCACTGAGCCAAGCAAGATTGGTTGATGATGAAAAGCAGCTCCCCACCCTTGCCTTTACCCACAACCCCAGACTTTAAAAGATAGTTGGGTAGAAAGGATTTGCAGAGGGAGATGACTACATTTTGAAGTATCTGGCTTTTTACTTTTCTGCATTTTTGTTTCATACTTGTTTTAGTAATAATTGCAGAAAGATCTTTTTCTCTGTACATAAAACATTTATCCTGAAAGTGAGTATTTTTTTAAGGGTTGGATATGGTTTTCTTTAATTGCCAAAGCCTAAGGCCATAAACACAGTGTGAAAGTAACCTGTAATAAAATAAACAAGGAAAAATTCTTTTCTTTTTTCTCTTTCATGTACTTATGTTCCAGTTTTTTAAGAGAGCATTTCATCTAATTATGCCACCTCTTTCTGTTATATTTCTATCTTTTCATAGTTGCTTCCATTTTCTCACTATCTACTTCCTTCATAACCTGACATAAATCTGGCTTTTCACTCCTTTATTCCACTGAACAGTGTTTTAATTGGAAGGAATTTACAGATTAACTGATGCAAACTTCTCATTTTTAAAATAAAGTCTAGAAGCTTTAAGTAGCATGGATAAAACAGTGATGGCAAGGACTTAGCACACAGGCTGCCATTTACCATTCTCTGCTCAGGGTAGACACTGATAACTGATTTTGTACCCTGATTGTCATTCCCAATGAACCCTAAGAGTCCTTCTCAACCAAGCTCTGTAGGCACCCAATGTCAGTCACTCGGCATTGATATGAGATCTGAAATCTTTGCCATCTCTGACCCATAATCACACATAAGACCGTGAACGTTTAACCAAAAACATTAAGTCGAGAGCAGTCACAAGGGGTCGTCTTTGACTGGGAGCCAGATGAAAAGAATAAATAATAAAAAAAGAAAGTAAAGGCTTCCCAGTACTGAGCTGGGGTTTGGAGTGTGAACAGAATTTAAATAGGCAGAAAGTAAGAAGGAGAGAATTTTTTGAGGGGAAACCACATGACCAAAGGCATGGACTGCTTCAGAGCCAAGCAAGTAAGTTTGCCAGAAGTTGATGCTTCACATTAGGACATGATAGGAAAGATGTTGGAGAGATCCAGGCTAGTTTGTATGAGATCTTTTTTTTTTTTAAGATTTTATTTATTTATTCATGGGAGAGAAACAGAGACATAGGCAGAGGGAGACACAGGCTCCCTGCAGGGAGCCCAATGTGGGACTCTATCTTAGGACCCCAGGATCACAACCTGAGCCAAAGGCAGACGCTCAACCACTGAGCCATCCAGGTGCCCCAGTTGTAGAAGATCTTAAGGGCCCACCTAAGAAATTGAAATTTTATCTGTGGATTAAAATCATGAACATTTTTGGGCAAAGGGATGATTTGACAGAACCATCATTTTAAGCAGAAAAATTCATGAATGATCTGCAGGAAGAATTAACAGGAGAAATAATATTAAGCATGTTAGGAAGTATTCTGCTTCCAAGCCTGAGGAGGTAGCAATTTGTGCTAAAGGACTACCAAAGAGAAACAAAAAGGAGACAAAATATCAATTAAAAAAGAAGATGGGCAGCCCTGGTGGCCCAGTGGTTTAGCGCTGCCTTCATTCAGCCCAGGGTGTGATCCTGTAGACCCCAGATCGAGTCCCATGTCAGGTCCCTCCATGGAGCCTGCTTCTCCCTCTGCCTGTGTCTCTGCCTCTCTCTTTCTCTCTGTGTCTGTCGTGAATAAATAAATAAAATCTTAAAAAAAAAAGAAGAAGAAGACCTAGAATTGGATGACAAATGGTTGTGGAGAGGCTACTGAAAGAAGAGGGAAAGGAAAGGGGTTAAGGATATCTCTGAGGTGTAACATAATAAATGAGGATACTTTTGAACCAAATAAAGGAGAAGAGCTAGTTTTCAAGGAAATGTGTAATCTGAGACAACTCCACCATATATTTTATCTTGCAAGGAAAATGAAGTGACTTCAGTATTTATCTGCCTTGGAACTACTGTAACTTGATATAAATACCAGGAACCATCTATGTAGTTTTGCAGTGCAGCTTTGACATCATATATCAGGCTCTGTGAAGTCAGCACTCTGGTCATTTGGGTGATTACTACTCTAGGTCTTTTAAATCTGATCTTTTAGCAAGTTGGTATCCTTTTTCCTTTCTGTACAAAATATTTTTTGTTTTGTCGCCATTACATCTGCAGTTAGATTTTTTTGGCCCTATTGAGCTTTCCTTATTTTATCTTGAAGAAGGTTAAATGTGACATGTAAAACAAGATTTCTGCAGACCGTATCTTGCTTTGCCTTCAAAGGATGCAAGGCGTTATAAACCGACTGTCCAACTTACTGAAGCCTGGAGGAATGCTGTTATTTCGGGACTATGGAAGATATGATAAGACTCAGCTTCGTTTTAAAAGGGGTATATTTAGTTTGGAATTATTTTCATGTGTTTTAAAGAATGTCCTATTTATATTTTATGTCAAATTTTCGTTTTGTTTTAAGGGATACTAAGTTTCTCTAATCACAATTATGTTTTTTAGGGCATTGCTTATCTGAAAATTTTTATGTTCGAGGAGATGGTACCAGAGCATATTTTTTTACAAAAGGTATGCTTATCTATAAGAGAAAATAATTAGCTGTGAAAACTCTCATTGGTGACCCTGTAACCACATTGTAACTGTTCTGCATGATAGCTTGAAAATGGCCTTTTTGTCTTTTAATCTTTTTCCAGTTGAAACTGCTTGAAAGAATCACTTGTTCATCCTTATACCCAAATGAAGGTGTAGTCTGTTCCATTTTAGAAGTACTGTTAGCCCAGATATGAAAAAAATGATAACATGCCACAGCCAGAGGAGAGAACTGGATTTTAAGAGTCCATAGAAAATTACTTATCTTTTGTCAATTTCCCATTTAAAAAAAAAGTGTTTAAATCCTTGAATGCAGAATTCAAACTAATGTGAGTACTTTTATAATGTGCCATTTGGGGTCTCTGCAAACCAACAAAAACTCAGAACAGAGGGCACCTTTAAAAATATTGAAATCTACAACCAGTAGTATTGTATATCTGTTCATGTTAAGCTGTTTATACTTGGTGTATTCCTGTGAAGTAGAAGAAATCCATTTGGTTTCACAGGTTTCCTTAACCAATTTGTTCTAGGGAGTTTCTTGGTATAAATGAAATTTAGATGGTCAGTCATTCCATTAATGTTCCATTGTTCCTGACTGCTCCCCTCTTGTCTACCACCATGCCCCAGTCACATATACATCTGATTGCCATTTTTGTCTCACAGGGGAAGTCCACAATATGTTCTGCAAGGCTGGGTTAGACGAGAAGCAAAATCTGGTTGATCGTCGCTTACAAGTGAATAGGAAAAAACAAGTGAAAATGCACCGAGTGTGGGTTCAAGGCAAATTCCAGAAACCATTACACTTGACTCAAAAAACCTCCAAATTGGTGTTTTAACTTTGGCTTTCTCATGGCTGAACTATGTACCATGTTAAGGTGCAAACCAGAGGATTACACAATACAAAGACTTCTATAAATCTTTCATTTTTGAAAGGACAATCAGAAGAAAAGAGAATTTGTATATCCTGCTGTTTATCATGGGTGAGCTCCTATGTTTAAGCACTCGCAAATTATTTGGAAGAGTATACTATATTCTGTGTTTTCAAAACTTAATATGCTGAAACTTTGCTTGAGTTTATTATGCCTAACCATTTTGTTTGTTCTTTGAATTTTATAAGCATTCAATTAAATTACTGATATAAGTCAGATAATTCTGAGAAACCATACCCTGCTATTTTTTGGAAGCGCAAAAAAACCACATTTATTTATGCATTAGTCTAACACAGTTAAACTCTCTTCCTCTCTTATCTAGTAGCAGAGAAGCAGCTCTCCTTGTTTCCCTGGCAAGCCACAAGACCTATATGAAGGTGAATTTTTTGTTTTGTTGTTGTCTGTTTTCCTCAAAACTCCTTTTTTTTTTTTTAATTCAGAGACTAATGTCTGAAATAGAATTTTAGTTTCTCTTTCCTGTCCTAAAATTGGGGAAGTATGACCCATGCTAACATTTTCAGGCTATTTTTAGGTGTACAAGTTGTTGTAAGCTCTCTTTAAGACAACTATTATACCCAAGAAAATTCTTAAATTGTACCAATTAAAAATGTATTTACCATCTTGCCTCAAAAAGGATATAAATTGGCTTGCAAATTGCACTTTGTGAAAATGGAGTTTCTGAGATTGGCTTTTCATTTGTTATACAACATACACTGAGTACTTACATTCTGCTAAATTATATTGTACTAATACAATCAATAAAGACCCAACCCTGCCTTCAGAGAGCACAGATAGGATCTGACTGGCAAAACAAAAGATGCATATCCCAAGCATCTAAATCACAATTTCAGATAATATATAAACAGGTACTTCTCAGCTAGCTTTGGTTATGAGCCACAAAAATCTGGAAGAAATGGACAATCCTTTGAAGGGCCACATTGGAAGAGTTCAGTTCCCACTGTTTTACTTTTTTGAATTGACTTAAAATTCCTTTTTCTAAAAGAATGTGATTGGTCCAATTTGAGTCACAGATTCATTTCCTGACAGTTCGGGGTAGACCACCTTCATAGATGGTGCCACCTGAATGTATGGAGTGGAGGAATGTTCCTCAAAGGACAATGACATATTGTTACCAAAAAAAGGGAGGAGGGATGCTATGCTGCCCCATCACAAACAGCATGTCACATAGTGGTGGTTCCAAAGAGAGGGAGAAGTGAGCTGGTGGGAAGAAAAGGAGAAGAAGCCTTGATGTTCTGTGGGGAGGTGGGTGTCAGGCTAGTCCTTGAACATATGCCCTCCGAAGATGGGGAGAAGACAAGTCTGTTTGGTGTGGGTCCTTCCTGATGATGAATTGTGGGGAAAAGATAGGGAGGGGGTCAGCTTCTCACAGCCATGTATAGAAGGCACATTGGGTTCTAGTCTGGAGCAATCTAAGGTTTGCTTGTTTCTGTTTTATCCTACCATAACATGTTATAAATATGTTTAGAGACATTGAGGCATCCTATATGGGATGGAATGCAGTAAGGTGGCACCATCTATGGGGGCGGCAAGGAAGACCACACATAAAGGTTTTTTGCACACACTTGCCTCGGTAGCAGTTCCTCAGAAATACAATATCAAGGTTTCTGTTTAAACATGGCATAGTCAATAAATGCAGAAGTTAAAATGTACCTGACACTCTTTACTCAGTTGTATCTCATAATTAAAGTGTACATTTAAAAGCCAAACTAGTAATGAAAGTATTACATACAACAAGGGCAGTTAGATAAGTTAATGTTGCTATGGGAACCCCAGCAGATTTTCTTGTGTCTCAACTTAAAAATCATGGCCTAAGGTGGTTTTAAAAACAACAGAAGAGGGATCCCTGGGTGGCGCAGCGGTTTGGCGCCTGCCTTTGGCCCAGGGCGCAATCCTGGAGACCCGGGATCGAATCCCACGTCGGGCTCCCGGTGCATGGAGCCTGCTTCTCCCTCTGCCTATGTCTCTGCCTCTCTCTCTCTCTCTCTCTCTCTATCATAAATTAAAAAAAAAAAATTAAAAACAACAGAAGGTAAAATCATTCGCATATTCTCACACATGTAAATTGTACTCTCTCTCTCTCTCTCTCTCTCTCTCTCTCAGTCCTAAATAGCAGATTTAAGCCAGGCTTTTGACTGGCACAGTAAAATTCAGCTTTATGTCTTCCTATAACGTATTATAGCATGTAGTTAACCTTTAGAAACTTCAAAAATACACCAACCAAATTTGGACTGTGAGACACAAACTGGGCTCTTTTGGGCTCTGTCTAGCATAGACCTCCTATGTCACATGGCTGCTCATCAGTAGGACCTTTTCTACCAGTGTCTTCTACTTGTCTGGTCAGTCTTTCTCTTGCTTAATCCACCCAAATAGGCCCCGTACTTAGTTTGTGGCTAGACAAAATGACTTTTGGCAGAGGGGGAAAAGAAAGAGAGAAAGACCTGATTTGGAATATTGCCTCTAGATGTTAAAAAAATCATGAAGTGTTGCAAATGTATCTGCTTGGGTATTAGTTAAAATATTTGATAACTGCATGAAATTCTAATTTTTTTCCTCACGAACATAAAGCTAGGGCCAGTTAGTTAGGCAGAGTTGATATTTAAAAGTTCATCTGAGGGAGCTGAATGTCAAAAGGACCATTTTCTTTCTCTTTTTTTTTTTTTTTTTTTTTTTTATGATAGTCACAAAGAGAGAGAGAGAGAGAGAGGCAGAGACATAGGCAGAGGGAGAAGCAGGCTCCATGCACCGGGAGCCCGACGTGGGATTCGATCCCGGGTCTCCAGGATCGCGCCCTGGGCCAAAGGCAGGCGCCAAACCGCTGCGCCACCCAGAGATCCCGACCATTTTCTTTCTAACAGAAAAAGATGTTCCTTCATCTTCTTACAATACGGAAACAATGAAATATTCTATATTAAAAATGGACCCTCCATTTTTCTCCAGTTCTAAAAGTTCATTTTTGACCATTTTCCAAATGTAAAAACTTGCACATGAAGAACTGTTTCAGAAGTTTGTAAGAAAACCAAGGTAACAGTTTCTATTATTAAAAGTTTTGCATTTCGTATGACCATTTATCGTATTGAAACACACCCAGTTAAATGTTGACTTCTGAAAAATTATTTGCCTTGCTTGACTCAGTTTTATCTCTAAATTATGAATACATTGAGGTTTCTACCATTATTAATCTAAATCGTTACTATACCTTTGTTTGTGAAAACTCACCCATATTTAGACTGTTAAACTTCAGGTAAGTTAAATTCTTGCCCCCACACTCTTCTGCTAAGTATTCCTATGGTTTTCCAACTCATCGGAGCCAAGTTCTGAAGCCTGAATATATCATACATTGTTACTTCTAATTGGTTTTAATGTTTATTATGCTCCTCACAAGTGCAGATAACTTCACATTTGCATCACTAATAGACCTCTTGCTGAGCCTCAGCTCCTTCTACTTCCTGCCCCCCCCCCTTAGTCATCCGTAGACGACAGGTTGGCGTGGGTATTCCCCGCCCCCCCCAACTTGTGAAAGTTCACTGTAAATTCTAAAGCACTGAATATATGTGAGGTATTGTTATTAATAACAGCATTTACAATCTACAAGGCCACATACAGAGTATTCCAGCAACAGAAACTTTTTCAAAGGTCTTGTGAAACCTTGTGAGAAAGACAGTAAGATGCCTCAGTCAAACAGAAAGCCTGGGTCTTAGTTCCTTTTGAACCACTTAGCTACTCTTTATTTAGCAACCAGTGCTGAGTCTTTTACACACTATATTTTTATATGTTACATTATTACTTCCTTTAACCTTCAAATTCCTATGAATTCATTTCCCTTATGACCATTTAACAGATAAGAGTGGGGCCCTGAGATTTGGGGTAACTTGCCCAGGATGTCACCACAAATCAGTGGCAAGCCACAGTTTGGACCCACAACGGTCTGATTCCAAAACCTCTGGTCTCATCAGCACACTTTTAATTGATAGCCTCACATGCTTCTGGGAATGCTGCTGGAGGAAAAAAGAGCTCCTGAATCAAATGGAGAATTATAGCAATGGGTAGGAGTTTGGATGAGACAGTCTACAAGGTGACAGCTCATTCTAGATGCAGTGATTCTATGAAATAAGTAAGTTCACTTGTCCACAGTTACCAACTGGGAAGGAAAAGAAGGAGAAAGTGACAAAGCAAAAGCTTTCAATCAGTTCTTTTCAGCATTCTGCATATGTTTACTTCTGCTCCCACCCCACCCCCTTCAGGCTTCAGGCTTTCACTTGGCTCCCCTCCGAGCCAGCAAGCGCAGCACCCATCACTTGCATACTCCTCACTTATAGGGAAGAAGAAAAAAAAAAAAAAGGTGATCTGAAAAAGCCCTTAAAATGTCTTCCAAGGGATTCAGCTTTAGTATAATCTAAAATATGTGAATTCAGGGATTGTCAGTAATAAAATATGAGTGAAAACATCTTTATTTTAAAACATTGTATGTACATTAATGCCACATTAATGCCAATTCAAGCAAAAATGTTGAGCATTTCTTGGAATATGGTTTGGGATTTGAGAGGCACAAAGGTACCTGCAAGATGGCTTTGGTGTTGTTATAAATATAAATAGAAGTAAAATAACAGTTGCATCTTCATTTATAATGCATCTTATACTGTGGCTTCAAAGCTACAGAGGAGAATGGATGCCAAAATCTATCTTCCATTAACATATGCCTTAAATGACAGGGAAGAGGTGTTGAAGACAAAATTACTTTTCCCTCTGAGTATGAATCAGCAACATACAGTAACAAGTAATAACAGTTCTGTGTATGAGTGTCTGCAGAGGGTAAGAAAAACAGCATCAAATTGAAAATGCAAGTGCACCTGCTGGAGAGGCCCAGGAGGCTGCAGAGCACAGCTCTCTTGCGTACCCTCCTGAAGTGTCTTGGAGCACCATGACCCCAACTCTGGCAAGCCAGGTTGGCATGAGATGGATGGAGCACATTAAAACCTCCAGATGGTCAAAGAGAGCCCACCCTCAGCTGCCCCTGGAGTTGCAAGGCACTACAACTTGTTCAAGAGTTTAAAACAGCCGCTTTGGATTCTGTAGTGCATGTGGCTTCACAACCGCTTAACCTTTAGTAAGGAACAGCTAGACACAGGTGAATGAATAAAAATACCCGTTAACATTTCATAAGGAGGGGGAAAAATCAATACTCGACGAACTCATGGACTTCAAATAGTCACAGATAGCGTCCAGTTAGCTGTGTCCCTGGCTTCCCAGGGATTTGTGTCTTTATTTTTGATTTTCTCCAGCAGATAGACACTAAGTTGAGCTGGCCCCCAGAGAATATATGCTTTTCTATCAGATGTTGCCTACCAAATCAAGTGAGCCATTGATTGCCTCCTAAAGAGCTCCAAGCATCATTTCTCCTACTTGGGCTGATGAGTTTGGTCCAGGAAAACTGAGTTTTGTTATGCTTACACAAAATCTTTGGCAGTTTTTTCAATCCATTACTCCTTAATGTGACACTTCCTAGCTCATTGCAGAAAAAGCAGAAATGAATTTTCTTTCTCAGTTAATCTTTATGTATTGATTATTGGTTGTTTCCAAATCATTGAGGAGTGGTACTCAGCCTTCAGGTCTTTAAGCCTTTTTCATTGGGAAAAAGAGCTAAAACTATGTGACTTCATAAAATTAATGATGAGATGCTTGTTGAGTCATTTGCATTGGTTTGGGAGGGGGTTAATGCTATGTATTTAACACAGGCAACACTATGCAGTTGCTGCCTCATTTCTCTTACCTGTCTCCTAAGGGTGACTTGTCTTCCTCCTGAGGCTGTCGTACTGAACAGAATGTTTGGTGTAAAGAATCTGATAGCTCTCCATACATCTTTAGTTATGCCCCAGTCCCTCAGGTGAGCTGAGACTGTGTCCCCTCAAGCAGCATTTGGTACTCACACTGAAAATCACCTGAAAGAGAATGGCTGAAATTGCCAGCATCACATGCTGCATTGAAGCAAGGAAATTTCTGTCTCCAAGGATAATTGCTTTTCTCATTGCTCATACTTCTTCCTCCACAGCCTTCATTTATTTTAATGTATATATTCCACTTTGACTCTCTAGAAGATATTTTTAAAGTTTAAAAAAAAAATCCAAATGAAAGATGAAATTCAGGATCCAGAAAAAGTATTTATTTTATTTATCCTTTCCATGAATGTATTCTTAATCAACCCGTCTTTTTGATTGTCTCTTCATTTGCAACTTTGTTTCCTAATAGAACACTTGGGCTCTGGAGATTAGTGAGACAAAGCTTCATTATAACCATCCTTGTTTTACTCCCATTTCTTATATTGTTTCTCATCCTAACTCACTCTCCAGGTGCTTCTTTCTCTTGCCAAATAGTGCAAGGAAACACTTTTGCAGATCTTTTGTTTATTTTAGAAAAAAACACTGATCCAGTCTTTCCCATTCGGGAGTGCTGCTCATTTCCTGACTGGCCTTTAAAGTTTGGCTTTAAAGTAGCAACTTGGGGATTTGTTTTCTACCCAAAGTGGAAGGAGTTGGGTACCCAGCAGCCCCATGCTGGAATGAAAATTAAGTTCTACTCATTCCCTGGATAAGCAAGCTGACGTTTTCCTCATAACTTCCTCCCCATTTCTCAAAGTTTTCATGTTTAGTCATTTAGCTTTAACTTTTTAAAAGGGATTTTAATAGGGTTGTCTCTCCTCCAAGTGC